GATGGATGGATGGTGGATGGATGGATGATGGATGGATGATGGATGGATGGATGGGTGGATGAGGGATGGATGATGGATGATGGATGGATGATGGATGATGGATGGATGGATGATGGATGATGGATGGATGATGGATGATGGATGATGGATGGATGATGGATAGATGGATGATGGATGGATGGATGGATGATGGATGGATGGACGGATGGATGGACAGATGGATGGATGGATGGACAGATGGATGAAGCATGGATGAAGACGGACACAGGATGGACCGGATGAAGTCCAGGTGCGGCACAGGGAGGGCAGGATCCCGGGGACACTGCCTGGTGCCACCACCCCCATCCCCCCCGTGTCCCCTGGCAGTGGTGGTGATGTGCATGCACTCCGTGCTCCTGGGCGGGCGGGAGCAGAAGGTTCTCCTGGAGAAGGCCGAGGACCTGGGCATGACGGACGGGACCTTCGTCTTCATCCCGTACGACGCGCTGACCTTCGCGCTGCCCTACCGCCGCGTGCCCTACCCGGTGCTGGCCAACAACACCAAGCTGCGCCTGGCCTACGACGCTGTGCTGACCATCACCATCGACTCGCCCGACGCCTCCTTCCACGAGGCCCTGGAGGAGGCCAAGAAGGCCTACGAGGTCCCCGCGAACCTTGACCCCGCAGAGGTGGGGCTGGGGGACGTCTGGAAGGGGTTTGGGCGGTGCCTGGAGGGGTTTGGGGATGTCTTGAGGGGTTTGGGGGTGTCTCGAGGGGGTTTGAGGGCATCACAAGGGGGTTTGAAGGTGTCTCGAGGGGGTTTGAGGGCATCTCAAGAGGGTTGGGGACATCTCAAGAGGGTTGAGGGTGCCTTGAGAGGGTTTGAGGGCATCTCCAGGGGGTTTTGGGGTATCTTCAGGGGACTTGGGGCATCTCTGAGGGGTTGGGAGCATCTCTGGAGGATTAGGTGGAGATGGCCATGGCCATCAACTTAGGGTGGAGGTGCCTACGGTCAATGGGAGATAACCATGGCCAACACAAAATGACCATGACCAACATGAGATGACCACAGCCAATGGGAAATGACCACGGCCATCTTGCCTTGACTATGGCCAGTGGAATATGACCACAGCCAATGGGAGATGACTGCGGCCATCTTGTGTTGACCATGGCCAGTGTGAGGTGACCATGGCCAATGAGAGATGACCATGGCCAATGGGAGATGACCATGGCCAATGAGAGATGACCATGGCCAATGAGAGATGACCATGGCCAATGAGAGATGACCATGGCCAGTGTGAGGTGACCATGGCCAATGGGAGATGACCATGGCCAGTGTGAGGTGACCACGGCCAACATGAAATGACCACGGCCAATGCAACCCAACCACACCCCTCACCCTCCAAGTGCCACCACCCCCCACCCAGGTGCCACCCACCGGTGTCCCCTGACCGCGCCGGGGCGCCCACCACATCCCACCTGTCCCCCCCAACCAGGTCCACCCGCTCTTCTCCACCATCTACAACTCCATCTACTTCCTGGCCACGGCGGTGGAGGCCACGCGCCGCAGCGGCCGCTGGGTGATGGGCACCAGCGTGGCCGACCACGCCCGCGACTTCCAGCTCCAGGGCTTCTGCCAGACCTTCACCGTGGACGAGGACGGCGACGTCTCGGTGCCCTACGTGGTGCTGGACACGGACGGCAAAGGCCACCACCTGTGGGCGGTCTACGGGCTGGAGCCGGGCACGCGCGGCCTCAGCTACCGCAGCCACAGCCCCCACTGGCCCCACAGCTCCAGCCCGGCCACCGACGCCGGCTGCTGGTTCGACTCCAGCGCCATCTGCAACGGCGGTGAGCGGCCACGGTGTCACCACGGGGCTGGGAGGGTCGGGGTGGTGGTGGCAGCCGTGGTTCTGGGGCAGCTGTGGTGCCACCACGGTGTTGGGCCAGCTGTGGTTCCCTCGTGGTTGTGGTGTCACCGTGGAACTGGTGGTGGGGTGGTGGTGCCACCACAGTGTAGGGTCAGATGTGGTTCCCTTGGGGTTGTGGTGTCACCGTGGAACAGGTGGTGGTGTGGTGTCACCACGGTGTTGGGCCAGCTGTGGTTCCCTCGTGGTTGTGGTGTCACCGTGGAACTGGTGGTGGGGTGGTGGTGCCACCATGGGTCAATGAGGGTCCGTGGCACTGGAGCTCAAGGGAGTTTGGGGGCATCTCCAGGGGGTTTCAAGAAATCTCTAGGGGGTTTGAAGGCATCTCAAGGGGGTTATGGTGCTACCAGAGTCTTGGGCCAACTCTGGTCGTGGTTCTGGACGATGGTCATGGTTCCACCATGGTCAGGATCCCACCACAGTCTTGGTCCTACCGTGGTCCTGGGCCAACTGTGATCGTGGATCCCACATGATCATGAACCAACCACGTTCCCACCATGGTCACGGATCAACCATGGTCCTGCTCCCACCATGGTCCATGTGTCCATGTGTCTGAGTGTCCGGGTGTCACCGAGGTGTCCAGGCAGTCAGGTGGCCCCAGGGTGTGTCCATCTCTCCCTGTGCCCATCCCTCCATCTGTTCCTTCCTCCATCCATCCATGGACACCACGTCCATGTGTCCGTCCATCCGTCCATCCATCCATGTCCACTGTGTCCATCTGTCCATCCATCCATGGACACCACGTCCGTGTGTCCGTCCATCCGTCCATCCATCCATGTCCACTGTGTCCATCTGTCCATCCATCCATGGACACCACGTCCATGTGTCCGTCCATCCGTCCATCCATCCATGTCCACTGTGTCCATCTGTCCATCCATCCATGGACACCACGTCCGTGTGTCCGTCCATCCGTCCATCCATCCATGTCCACTGTGTCCATCTGTCCATCCATCCATGGACACCACGTCCATGTGTCCGTCCATCCATCCATCCATCCATCCATCCATGTCCACTGTGTCCATCTGTCCATCCATCCATGGACACCACGTCCATGTGTCTGTCCATCCGTCCATCCATCCATGTCCACTGTGTCCATCTGTCCATCCATCCATGTCCACCATGTTCATGTGTCTATCCATCCATCCATCCTTCCACCCATGTCCATCTGTCCATACACTCATGTCCACCATGTCCATCCATCCTCTCCCACCTCCACCCACATCCTCCCACAGGTGACCTCCAGTGCCACAGTCACTGGGTGACGTCAGTTCCCCAGGTGACCACATCCCCCTGGTCACCCCTGGTCACCCCTGGTCACTCTGGTCACCTGCGGTCACTCCTGGTCACTCCCATGGTCTCTCCTCAGGGATGGACGCCGGATTTGTCTTCTTCTTGTTCCTCCTCATCGCCGCCCTCGGCGCAGCCGGCGCCGCCCTCGCCTGCCACATCAGGTGAGTGACCTTGGTGGCCCTGGTGTCCCCACTGTCCCTGGTGGACCTGGTGGCCCTGGTGGCAGCTCGGTGTCCCCACTGTCCCTGGTGTCCCCACTGTCCCTGGTGGCCCTGGTGTCCCCACTGTCCCCGGTGTCACCTCGCTGTCCCCACAGACGCCGCATCCAGCAGGCGCAGCTCATGAAGGGCCCCAACAAAATCATCCTGACCATGGAGGACCTGACCTTCATCAACACCCAGAGCAGCAAACAGGTGACACGGGGGGACACGGGGGGGACATCGGGGGACACGGGGGGGACATCGGGGAGGAAAAACAGATAGACATCAGCATCAGGGGGACACCAGGGGGACCATGTCCCCATGGCCTGAGGTGTCCCCAGGGCCAGGGACAACCTGGTGGGACCCTGTGGGTGACGTGTCCCCAAGGGATGACGTGTCCCCATGGCCTGAGGTGTCCCCAGGGGACCCCGTGGGTGACATGTCCCCAGTGGGTGATGTGTCCCCATGACCACAGTGACCCTGTGGTGTCACAGCACCAGCAGCTGATGTGTCCCCGTGGTGGGACCCCATGGATGATGGGTCTCCATAAGTGCCATGTCCCAGCTGGTGGCACCATGGTGTCCCCATAGCTGGTGTGACCCCGCTGCAGGTGACACTGTGATGTCCCCATGCCTGGTGTGATCCCATGGTTCATGTGTCCCCGTGGGTGACACCCCGGTGTCTCCACACCTGGTGTGACCCCATGATAACCTGTCCCTGTGGGTGACACCCTGATGTCCCCATGACTGGTGTGGCCCTGTGGGTGACATGTCCCCAGTGGGTCACATGTCCCCATGGCTGCTGTGACCCCACAGTTGAAGTGTCCCTGTGGATGACGTGTCCCCATGGGTGACCTGTCCCCACAGTTGATGTGTCCCCATGGGTGACCTGTCCCCACAGTTGAGGTGTCCCCACAGTTGATGTGTCCCCATGGGTGACCTGTTCCCATGTTTGATGTGTTCCCATGGGTGACCTGTCCCCACAGTTGATGTGTCCCCATGGGTGACCTGTCCCCACGGTTGAGGTGTCCCCACAGTTGACGTGTCCCCATGGGTGACATGTCCCCACAGTTGAGGTGTCCCCACAGTTGATGTGTCCCCATGGGTGACCTGTCCCCACGGTTGAGGTGTCCCCATGGTTGATGTGACCCCGTGGTTGATATGTCCCCATGGGTTGTCACCCATGTCCCCGTGGGTGACCTGTCCCCACGGTTGACCTGTCCCCGTGGTTGAGGTGTCCCCACAGTTGACCTGTCCCCATGGGTGACCTGTCCCCATGGTTGATGTGACCCCATGGTTGACCTGTTCCCATGGTTGAGGTGTCCCCACAGTTGATGTGACACCATGGTTGAGGTGTCCCCAAGGTTGATGTGTCCCCAAGGTTGAGGTGTCCCCACAGTTGAGGTGTCCCCACGGTTGACCTGTCCCCATGGGTGACCTGTCCCCATGGTTGATGTGACCCCATGGTTGACCTGTTCCCATGGTTGAGGTGTCCCCAAAGTTGATGTGACACTGTGGTTGAGGTGTCCCCACGGTTGACCTGTCCTCATGGGTGACCTGTCCCCACGGTTGATGTGTCCCCATGGGTCACGTGACCCCGTGGGTGACCCCGTGGTGTCCCCGCCCCTCCCCCGCAGGTGGACAGCAGCCACGCCAGCCTGGCCGGCCAGAGCGGGGGTGACAACAAGAGCGTCCTCAGTGCCACCCCCGGCCCCGACAACACCAACGTGGCCGTGGCCGAGGTGAGACCCCCCTGTCCCCTCCCCCCGTGTGTCACCTGCCCCTCCCCCACCCTCCCCAGCTGCCCCTC